GTGAAAATTTCATGTCATTAGCACCTCTAGTAATATATTTACTGAGAAAAATGGTGACGTGTTCAATACTTATTTTACCCGCTGTATATTATATAGATATATTCATGAACTGTATGTTTTCCTGTTTTTTGTTTCTGGGGTCCAACAGGTTCAGATATTTTACCTCCTTTAGCCGTTTTTATTGAATAAGTACTTGTTTAGTCTAGAACACCTGTAATAATCCGATCATAAATAAATATAAACTATGGCTTAAATTAGCGTTTAATATTAATCTGAAGCAGATTTGTCAGTTTTATTATAAATGCTCTGGTTGAATCTTGTGCTTCAGGTCCGGATGTACTCCAGAGCGCTGGCGATCATCGGGGGCTTCCTGGTTCTGGCCAGCGGTGCGGGGGAGATCCACAGACAGAAAGCCCGCAGGAGATCTCTGCAGTCGACCGGGCAGATTTTCCTGGGGATCTATCTCATCTGTGTGGTAAGACCCATGTTTGTGTCGGATGAGGAGCCTGATCCTGGTGTTACATTTACCTGCAGTACCACATCCTGTCCACCAGGTGTACTCCCTGCAGCACAGCAAAGAGGACCGACAGGCGTACCTGAACCACATCGCCGGAGGGGAGCTCACCCTGATGCTGGTAGAGGTTCTGTTCGGCGTTCTGGCTCTGGCCTTCCTCTCCGGGTATTACATCCGCCTGGCGGCTCAGATCCTGGCCACRGTCCTTCCTCTGGTCATCCTCCTTATCGACGGTAACATGGGCTACTGGCACAACAACCGCAAGGTGGAGTTCTGGAACCAGATGAAGCTGATRGGACACAACGTCGGCGTGTTCGGCGCCGTGTTGATCCTGGCTACTGATGGTTAAGAACCAATACAGAGACAACTGGATGAGATGATTTTTATTGGTCATGGCCTGAATTTAGCTAAAAGCTGCTGTTGTGCAACAACTCAGGACTCCAAACCTCCTCAGACGGTGGGGACACTACGCATTTGCTTATTATTCATCTGTAGCTTTGCGTCAGCAGGAAGAAACAGGCGTCATTTCRTTTTATTGCAAATTTTGTTATTTATTTGGTGTCATGTTTACATGTTCTGAAACTTGGTGCCAAGAACTGGTACTTTAAACACGCAACAAACGCCAGTAAGAAGTGTTCAACAGTCCAAACACTTGTTACAGGTCAGGTTTGTAAGGTTTTATAAATAAAAGGGAAACCGTTRGATAAAGTGGCTTATAGGGTGTACATACATATGACATGTTTTTAAATAAAGAAGTGCGTTTATCACCTGTGTGTGCAATATTTACATTGAATCTATGATTTAGACTCTGATCTTTGAGGAGCCTCACTAACTAAAAGGCTGAACTGTAACGCCTTGAGACATTAAAGTCAGGGCGTCCGTGTGTCCTTAAAGCCTTAAACTCACATCTAAAATTAAGACCTTAAAAAGTCTTAAATTTGTTGAAAATATATATGCAAGTCGGTCTTAAATTTGTTACTCAAAGGTCTTAAATTTTGTTGGGRAGAAACAACTAAATTCTCCATCTGCCCCGGTGTTACACCATATTTTATATCATTGTGACCTGAGGGGGCGCTGTTGCGTTTCTACAACAGAAATTGGCCGAACATGGCCACAAAGAAGAATATGATGCAACAAAATTGTAAGCCAGAGGCTGAAGACATGAAGAAAATAAAAACTTGACTATTATACATGGGCACAGAATATGACAGCTGTCATATTGTGACTTCACTGTAGCTAAGGAAATAGTAAAGRTTACTAATTGTTTACATCCTCTAGTGTCAGAAAACTTTTGATCACTGACATGGTGACTGTTATTAAATCAATACAGGGTCACATAATARGATAGCTATTATCATGTATAGTAGGAATAATAGTATTGACAACAGTTGTCATATTTTGTGACTGCTGGGTTATTCTTTTGGCTATCATATTCTTCTTTGTGGCTAATTTCTGCCATGTTCTGTTGTAGAAACGCAACAGCGCCCCCTCTGGTCACAATATATYACTATCACAAAGCATGGTACAACACCTGCAGCGCATTTCCTGTTGCGAAAAAAAAAGAAAAAAAAAGTGTGATGGATTACACTGACGCTGCTTTCAACCAATAAGAAGAACCAGAGTCACAGTTTTAGCCAATCAGAGCGGGTCTGAGCAGAATCAGAACTGCATGGATGACTTCTTTTTGTATAAAGGCAAAACTGGAGGTTAAAACATAATTACGTTTCATGCCATAAATGTATTTAGTAGATGTACTTTTGTTGGTTGTTTTCAACCAAATAACTGAACCCCCGAACCATCGCTTATGTGAGCCATCACATCGAAATGAGGATTAAGTCCAAAAGTGTAATGTGGAAAAATAGGCAGATAAAGGTTTTAATTTAAAAGTGTGCATTCATTGCATTTTGACAAAATATAATGAAATGATGCCTTATCAATGTATCATTTGAATGAACGGTCTGAAATATAATCCCAAACATTTTTGAAGCATCTTTTTGAGCTGTGC